TAATTACCAAACCAAACCAATTGTATCGGGTTATTAAATCTAAATACCAAACCAATAAAAGTCGGGTTTTTTAATCTCGATTTTTCTCGGATTTTTCGGGTTTTCGATTTTTTTCGGTTTTTTTTTCCATAAAGTATTCATAGCACAAAATGTAAAATTTGTGCTCCAAATATTTCTTTAATCCTATTAAGACAGAACTATATAAGATGTTTTTCAATAAAATAACATAAATATGAGATGAGTCATAGTATTGTACTAAAAATATTCAACAATAAAGATAATAAAATCGCATAAAATAAATATTATTAATAAGCCATAATGAAAACAAACATAATTTAAAATTATGAGTAATAAGTACTATAATTTACATGACTAACCACTAAAAGAAAAATAAGTTATACATTTTATCTAAACCATGGGAAAACTAAAAAATAGATATCCAACACTATTTTCATTTATAGTACAATTGAATTGAATGTCTTTTATTAGCATTAGTATTGATTTGATTTTGGTTTAGAATTTATTTGAGTAACTAACATTTATGGACTATAAAACTTTTTGGAGCATCCAAAAATTATAAGCTCAAGTTTGAAATAATACGTTAAAAGATAAAACTATGAAAAAGCTTAAGACATATTTATAAACTACAGTACCATAAATATTTTTTTGTATTAAATATATTTAATTCTATACATATAATGTCGGGTTGGTTAGGTTTCGGTTTGACGTTTTTTAGTTAAAACCAAACCAAAACAAATATGGTCGGATTTTTTTTTCCAACACCAAACCAAATTAAACCAAACCATAATCGGGTTATTTTTTTCGATTTGACTCGAACTATTGGGTTGGTGCGGTTTGTCGATTTCATTTTTACACCCATGTTCAAAAGTGCAACGAGTTCGATAAGAACTGTAAAGATCTATCAAGTTTAAATCATTGTGCATCTATTTGCCACTAGGCTAATCCTAATTCTACGTCTGTGTTAAAAGAGATGCTCTCCCTATTTTCATCAAGTAGACAGATTCTAACAAGTTTCTACAATTAGTTGAGTATTACATCTAGTTAAGAATATAACGAACCTGATTCATGATATATATATATGCCAATGTTAAAAAATTATGTAGCAGCCATATATCTTGCTCCATCAAACTCCACAGTATCAGGCATAAAATGGCGTAAATTAATTGACATTGAATTTTTTTTTTTTTAAATAATCGTAGTGTTCATGCCAGCTTGCGCGCACCTCGACTAATTTCACGGGATACCTGCCAACTCCTACCAGCAACAGATACCAGGTAACTCTATCCACCAACGCTTGGATTGATGTGAGGAAATCACCTAGTGTTTTTTTCCTCGAATGGGAATTGACATTTGAGTGTTAGGGATAAGATGATGGAGCAGTTTGGTCTGGTGTAGACCTCTGAGACTTGGAGCTATAAGAATGATTTGAACGCTTCCTACACAGCAAGAAAATCACAGTGACAAGAAAAAGAGTAAAAAGAATGACAAGTACCAGCAACATAATTTCTCCACTGAGAGCAAAACTATGATTCTTAGCAGATAGCATCGCGTCATCTTTATGTGAAAAATCATCCGGAGCCATGTACGAGGGTGTATTCAAAGGATAAATCATCACTGAAGATAGTGCTAAGTGTTAACAAATATATGGTATATTTATTTCTTCATTTTCATTAGGATGTAGAATATCAGTGGAGCTTTAAGAAGGTAAGGTTTTCAAGATAGTTTCTTGGCATGTTTTGTTGTGTGATAGCCCACCTTGAATTGTCCATTTTCACCCCCAACCCTACACCCCGGTCCGGTTGAAAGGCTCACTCCTTCCCTCGATTGGTCCAACCTTCTCTATCAGCTTGGTCCGATCATGCCGTGGCAAACATCTCAACGGACTCGGGATTGGATCTAGCGGGTTTATCTGAATTCAATACTTTCACTGCGGAATATAAATTTACGGGTAAAAATTATCTAAAATAGGAACAAATAGTAGTTATGGATATAATGGGTTCAAACTAATTTTTTTTTAGAGATTGAACTAATAGAATTCAAATCATGAATCTGTCTTTGTGGACAGGATGTGACTTTTCGTAGAGATTAATGGACCATATATACTAAAACGTGAAAAGAATTCCAACAAGTGAACAAGCAAAACCAAAAAAGGTCAATGTCACCTTCTATAGACTTGGGCCATGATAAAGCCGTGCACACAGTCAACTTCCTAGTAAATTAAAAATTCGCTAGAATTTGGAATCGCAGACTGATCTATCTGTTTCTCACAAGAAAATAGTTTTCGAATTTGACTTTAAATTCAGTAGTAAACAAATCACTAGAACCTCAAAATTGCAGATAAACAATAGTGACATGTAATAAATATCAGAGTTCTAGCTAATGAAGATGAGCAAGGACCCAACTGTACATTCCTACCCAAGTAATATTCCTTAGCTTTGGAAAAAAAAAATTAAGCCTCATTCTCATGATGGTTGATGTTTAGAACCTATCTCAGAAGGACAAAAAGGGTAGCCCGGTGCACAAAGTATCATGCGTTCACGCAGGGTTCGGGGAATGGTCGCACCTCTAAGGGGTGTGATATAGGCAGCATACCCTAATGCAAGCATCAGTGGCTGATTCAACGGCTCGAACCCGTGACCTATAGGTCACATAAAGACAACTTGACCGTTGCTCCAAAACTCCCCTTCAATTAAAATCCGATAATCTCAATATAGAAAACATTATACTTTTAATTTCAATCAAAAAATTCAACTACTAAATATCACCATAATATCTGTCTACGGTAAATGGAGCATAATTTGTAAGTTCTGAACATAAAGAAATTGTTTGAAAACCACACGCCAATAGATGTGTGGCGACCCAAGCAAACTTGGATGGGTCGGGTCAAAATTGGCTCCGATAATTTTACATGTTTAAAATTGTTTCAACCTGTCAATTTGACACCTCTAGATTGGCATCCCCTCGTTGGAGATAACCTTGAGAGTGATGGAGTTATTATTTCACAAAACTTGCTTGGCATTGGTTCAAACTTATCCACAAGAAACAACGCCAACTTAATTTGTCAATGATGATAGAAGAGTAACTTCTATTCTCTTACACTATGTACTGAATACCCTATTCATATGCACAATAAGGGGTTGGAAGATCTCAAACATTAAGGTGAAGGAAAAACTGAAGCGATCAACCACATACCTGAACTTCATCAAAAGGCTAATGTTAGGAAGCAATTAAATTTGCTTTGGCAATCAGAGGTTTGCCAGAGATGAGGTGAAGAATCTGCTTTGGCACTAAACTTTATTTAATCTTTTAACAAAAGTAATTAACCATCACCATTTCATTAAACCTCTATGTTTTCCTGGTCATGAGTTTACAGTCAACAAAAATTTACAACTGTAACGATAGAATGAAGGTGACTAAATAATAGTGGTATGCAGTGCCTAATAACTGGCATATTTCGTCTCTTTAAATAATAAACTGGAACCATCTACTACTATTCGAATTGTTCCCAGTCCTCAGTCACTACAGTAGAAGACGGTCTAGGAGGTGGGGCATTCAGGCTTCCAACTCCAGACTCAAATGTCTCCCATTGAGTAGTCACTGACACGGCATTACTGTTGTTGCTAAACGGATTGGCATTTCTTGCCTTAACTGCATCCATTGTCTCTACCAAGCTCTGGACACGGCGCACCTGAACAAGGAAGTTAAACACTTGACATCAATATGTGCAATCATGTAAAATCAAATAGGCACAAGCAGCAGCTTAAATCTAGAAGCAAGTAATGAATGCAGCAGTTAACAGTGCTCCATCTCAAAGATGAACGTAATGTTTCTGAAACACAAAAAGATCAATATAGAAGATTACTAAGACAACGAGGATTACCATATACAATTAGTTTAAGACCCTTAATACTCGATAACAATGCATTAAGTCTGCAATACAAATTAGTTAGCCCACAAAAACAGTTTAATTACGTGCTAAAAATAAAATAATCAAAGCCAAACTCAAAGGAAATCATATGCAGATAAAGAGGCTAGGGAGACTGAAGAAATAAGCTTCAAGGAATACTATAGATTGTAATCTGACTTTTCCAGCAAAGTGATGTTCAACTCAGAAGCTGAGGAACTAAAGTAGAGAGGCTAAGCCCATCAGAGATGGAAAAGGGTTGTTTCTTGACCAAATATTTCCTTTATTCGTGGATAACCAAGCATAGAGGTAGTCATTATGAACACGTCAGAGTTTGCAAAGAAAAAGTGACAATGTCAATGGCCTATACTGCCAAAATTCAAAGAAAAGCAAATATGAATAATTTGATACCAAAGCTAGCATCTATTATATACGCCGGTTTCTCAAAACTTAAGCAGGCCTAGCAGATTTAACACTACTGTCAACTAGGAGTAGCAAGGGGCTTAATTATTAGCAGTCCGCCTCAACTCTATTTGGATTTGGCTCATATATTTATTTGCATCATGCATAGCCAGTCAGTTTTTCACATAAAATAGCAGGCCACACTTTTGTATTCATTTATCAGGCCACGACTAAGATTCCATATATTTATACACCACATTAAGGGTGGACACAGAAGCTATATGGACCCTTCCTTTCTGTTTCAAGAGCTTCCCAGACCACATCGGAATGTTTAATCATGTGAGAAATAATACACGGGAAAATTGTATTATTGATAATGTTAACTATAATACAAGTACCCCTATTTATAACAATATACAATACATACACTACTCCTATTTCATGTAGGACTATGCTTATTACTAACTAACACTCCCCCTCAAGCTGGTGCATACAAATCATATGTACCGAGCTTGTTATATATATAACTAATACGAGGACTAGTGAGCGACTTGGTGAAAATATCTGCAAGCTGATCATTCGACTTCACAAACTTTGTACTAATATCTCCTGAGTATCTTTTCTCTAACGAAGTGACAGTCAATTTCAATGTGTTTAGTTCTTTCATGGAACACCAGATTTGATGCAATATGAAGGGCAGCTTGATTATCGCACACAAGTTCCATCTAGCTGATTTCACCAAATTTCAACTCCTTGAGCAATTATTTGATCCAAACTAGCTCACATGTTGCCATAGCCATTGCTCGATATTCTACTTCTATACTAGACCTAGCAACTACATTTTGTTTCTTGCTCTTCCAAGACACCACCAACTAAAACACAATATCCAGACGCAGAACGTCTATCAGAAAATGATCCTGCCCAATCAGCATCTGAGTATCCAACAATCTGCTCATGGCCTCAATCCTCAAACAATAACCCTTTACCTGGAGTCGATTTTATATACCGAAGAATACAGACAACTGCATCTCAATGACTATCACAGGGAGAATCCATTAAATGACTTACAACACTCACAGGAAAGGAAATGTCAGGTCTAGTCACTGTGAGATAATTTAAATTACCAACCAACCGCCTATATCTTAGAGGATCGCTAAGCGGCTCCCCATGTCCTCAAGAATGTCTAAAGCATACTTCCGATGTGAGATCACAATACCTGAGCTAGACTGAGCGACCTCAATACCCAAAAAATACTTTAGTCTGCCCAGATCCTTAGTTTGAAAGAGTTGAAAGAGATGTTGCTTCAATTTAGTAATACCATCCTGATCATTGCCGGTAATTAACAATATCTTCAACATAGACCACTAGATAAATACAGAGACTTGAAGGAGAATGTCGATAAAACACTAAGTGATTAGCTTCACTACGAGTTATGCCAAACTCCTGAATAATTGTGTTGAACTTACCAAACCAGGCTCAAGGAGACTGCTTTAGACCATAAAGTGACCGGCGCAAGCGACATACAATGCCATAAGACCCCATGAGCAACAAACCCAGGTGGTTGCTCCATATAAACTCCATCCTCAAGGTCACCGCGTAGAAAAGCATTCTTAATGTCCAGCTGATAGAGAGGCCAATGGCGAACATCAGCCATGGATAGAAAAAGGTAGACTAATGCTATCTTAGCCACGGGAGAGAATGTATCACTGTAATCGAGCCCAAATATCTGAGCATATCCCTTGGCAACAAGATGGGCCTTAAGTCGATCAACCTTGGCATCCGGACCGACCTTGACTGCATAAACCCAACGACAACCAACAGCAGATTTACCTGTAGGAAAAGGAGCAAGCTCCTAAGTACCATTCGTATGTAAAGCAGACATCTCGTCAATCATAGCCTGTCAAAAATCCTAGATGAAACAATGCTTCACCTGTAGACTTAGGGATGGAAACAGAGGACAAAAAAGATATAGAAGCATAATAGGGTGATGACAGACAATAACTTAAACCGACATAATGGGGATTAGGATTAAGTATGGTCCGTATACGTTTCCGAAGTGCAATTGGTATACTAGGAGACAAGTCCGCAGTAGGAGACGTGAATCGGCTGGGCGCGGACGGCGATGATAAGTCAAGAGTGATGTTCCTGTGGTTGGGGATCAAAGAGGGGCAACACTAGACTCCTCAACAGTTGGGGATCTAGGAGGAGCAACACTAGACTCCTCAACGGTTGGTATAGGTAAGACTTCTGTGGTTGAAGGTGGAGGAGGAGCTATGTAAACTCCTCAAAGGTCGGTATACGTAAGACCTCAAATATATCAAGGTGGTCAGAAGAGGTAAAGAAAGGTATAGACTCAAAAAAATGACGTAAGCTGACATAAGGTACCTACGAAGATCAGATGAGTAACAACAATATCCCTTCTAAACACGAGAATAATCAAGGAAGACACACTTGAGAGCACGAGGAGCTAAATTATCTTTCTCGGGGACTGAATTATGAACAAAATATGTGCTCCCAAAAAAAAGAGGGGGAAGAGAGTATAAGGGTGACTGGGGAAACAATACTGAATACGAAATCTATGGGAGATGAAGGCATCCGATTAATCAAATAACAAGTTGTGAGAACTGCATCGCCCCAAAAACGCAACGGAGCACGAGATTCGATGAGAAGTGTGCGAGCAATCTCAATGAGGTGCCTATTCTTTCTCTCTGCAACCCATTTTGCTGAGGGGTATACAGACGTCTTGTCTGATGAATAATTCCTTAGAGAAGTATAAACTGCTGAAATAGATAGGACAAATATTCTAAGGTATTATCACTGCGAAAAGTGCGAATAAAAACACCAAATTGATTTTTAATTTCAACAAAAAAATTCTGGAATATAGAAAACAACTCAAAACGATCTTTCATTAAGAAAAGCCAAGTACATCTTGAATAATCATCAATGAAACTAATAAAATAACAAAATCCCAAGGTTGAACTGACTCTACTAGGACCCCATATATCATAATGAACTAAAGAGAAAACAGACTCTGCATGACTCTCAACACTACGCAGAAAGGAGGCTCGGGTATGTTTCCCAAGCTGACACGAGTCACAATCTAATGTAGACAAACTAGACAAACTAGACACCATCTTCTGAAGCTTGGATAAACCTGAATGTCCTAAACGTCTGTGAATTAGCTCCGGAGGATCTGTAACTAGACATGCTTTGGAGGGATTGAGTGAGTTAAGGTAGTAAAGACCTTCTGTTTCACGCCCTGTGCCAATCGTCTGTCCCGTACTGCGGTCCTGCATAATAAAGAATCATCAATAAAATATATACCACAATGGAAAGCACGAGTCAAACGAGCAACAGATGCAAGACTAAAAGGGCAGTCGGAGACATAAAGAACGGAATCTAGAGTGACAAAAGAAAGGGGATTAGCTTGTCCAACTCCTTGTGCTTTAGTTTGAAACCCATTGGCTAAAGTAACCGTGGAAAGAGATTGTGAATACACAATATTCGACAAAAGAGATTTATTACAAGAGATATGATCAGAAGCGCCTGAGTCCATGACCCATGGTCCAAGAGTACTAGACTAGGAAACACAAGCAAAAGAATTACTAGCAACCTGATACTTCTGAGCAATCGAGGCTACTTGTGGAGATGTCTGCTTACTTGCTCGATACTGAAGGAACTCATTATATTCTCCTTCAGATAAAGAAAATCTCTGGCTACCAATAGTCTCGGTATGAGCAACATAAGCATTTTTGGGTGGTCGACCATGTAAAGAATAGCACACTTCACGAGTGTGTCCAAGTTTATGACAATAAGAATACTTGGGTCTAGATCTTTCAAAACGACCTCCTCCTCGTCTATTCTCCATAGTTTGAGTTTGAGATGCCCGATTTTTCACTGTCTGGGATGTGAGGAGTCAAGTGTTTGTGATGAGATCACTAGGTGACTTGGTACTGCAGCAAGGCGAAGTAATCGAGAGAATAATTCACCAACTGTAGGGGCAGTCGAACTAGCCAAAATCTGGTCACGTACTGAATCAAAGTTCATTAGGAAGTCCAGCGAGTGTAAGAACTAGAAACATCTTCTATCGTTGCTCTTGTTACTTTTCAATACCAGCAGAAACTGGCATCAACTTCTCAAATTCTTCCATGACTACCTATACTTGTTCCAAGTAAGTAGACATATCCAATTCTTGTTTCATCAAGCTTGTCATTCGCAATATCACATCATAGAAACGAGATATATCATTAGAGTATAAAGTACGAGCCTTTTCCCCAACTAAATAACATATCTGGAATGGACGGAACAAGGGCATCAACTTGGAATCAATAGATCGCCACAAGATACTACATAACTGAGCATCGACCTTCTCCCAAAGTGCTTTGGCCTTTTCATCTCCTTCGCTACCCTTTTTTGTTAAATGATCTTGAACACCTTGACCTTTACACCACAATTGGACAAACGAAGCCCAAGCTAAATAGTTTGAACTTCCCATTAAAGGTTCTGAGGTAATAATAATATCGGAACTTCCAGAACCCGTGTTTTTAGACCCAAAAGCATCAACTCCCAAAGACATTGTTAGATAGAAAAAAGGTCTAGCAAATTAGCACCAACTAAAACAAAGAATCAACTGTAGTTTGCCTGAAAAACATTGCACTGCTGCCGGAAAAACTTTCAAAGTGCTCGAAATTAAAAATAAAATTATGGGTAGGCTCGGAATTAGAAGGCGATCTAACTGTTCTAAAGAAATTTCGTCAAAAAGTAGCCGGAAAGTGCTCCACGCGCCTGCGCGTGGAGTAGATCTTGCCGAACAAGAAAAACCTCTGATCGGCGCGTGGTGGTGCGTGAGATGTTGGTTGCCGGAGTGTTTGTTGGGGTTTGGTCGCCGGGGCTTGGGGAACCTTGTGGTGGTGTTGGTTTTTTGCACAACACCGATGGAAATTGGTTTGACGAAAAACAACCCTAAAAAGGTCGTCGGAATTGAAGCACGACGGCTTTTTTGGTTGGGTTTTCTTTCCCAGATGTTTTCTCACTGCCGCACAGATACCATGTGAGAAATAATACACGGAAAAATTATATTATTGATAATGTTAACTATAATACATGTACCCCTATTTATAACAATACACAATACTTATACTACTCATATTCCATGTAGGACTATGCTTATCTACATAATAACTAACTAACAAATCATAAAGATGGGCAGTCAAAAAAACAGCTATCACAACAGGAAAGGGGGAGCGGAGATATGGCTCGCAGAATCATACCACGACGGTCAAAAAGTATATTTCCTTCTTATAAAACACAACATGGACCATTCTTGGCATTCTTCTTTTTCAATTGAAGAAAAAAACCAGATCTTCGAATGCATTTTCCTTGCCGCACCCTATGGCACAACCATCTTTTCATAGGGATTCTGCTTTAAAGGTTGGGCCCACATCTATTAGGAGCAATATCATGGTAAATAAACTAGTCCACTGGGGCCCAACACAAATCTAGGTCAATAATTTGTTTAGTTGATTCACAAAACTAGCGAAAGTGTCAACCAAAAGCTTGAACTATGGAGAAGCACTCTTGAGTATGGGTTTTAGGATAAGTGAAAGTAAGACAGAACATAAGCACTGAAAGTTTAGCAAACATAAGAATAGTGAACGTGAGGTGCGATGAGCTTAATGGAGCGACATAGAAAGTGGGGATTCATATAGTCGACCCCAACTTGTTAGGGATAAAGGCATTCTTGTAGTGTATATGGATATCTTGGTGTCAAAGTGAAGGTAATTATTATGAAGCCATGTTAGGCTTTATCAACTCACTACACAACCTATCTTCCTGCTATGTTGATACTTTGCATTTGGCCATTTGCAATGTAATTACCAGCTCTTTCTTGATGTGTTTTTTTACTCAAAAGAATTACCTTATCAAAAAATATAACATACTCCCTCCATCCCAATTTATATGGCATTCTTTCCTTTTTAGTCTGTCCCAAAATGAATGTCACCTTTCTATATTTTGAAACAATTTAACTTCAAAATTCCCATTTTACCTACCCTTAATAAGATGATTTACAACCACACAATATCTAAGGCTTGTTTTAGACAAGTTTCTAAAGTCTGTATCTCTTTCTTAAACTATGTGCCTAGTCAAACGGTGTCACATAAATTGGGATGGAGGGAGTAATTATTTTCAAGATTTAGAAGGACAGGGTATGTTTTCGTAGACTTCCAAGCTATGTCACATAGTTATGTTTGAATACAAAAAATCAAATCGCATGCAATAAACTATAAAACAACATACAGGATTAGTAAAAGTATAATATACGACAAAACGCATGATACTGCAAGCAGTAACACCAAGGGAATTATGCCTGCAGCCTCAGATCTCCAAACTTTGAGGGTTTGACATTTTATCTGTCCAGTGTGGTTCTCTACACATGACTAGCAAAGCTCTTCAGCTCAGTTTTACGCAAGTGTTAAGTCACCAGAAGCAAAACCAAGTGCTACCCGGGTGAAGGATATCAAATACACTTCAAAGTCCAGCTAATGGCATATAAAATCATTGGCAACAGTAGAAAGTCAAGCTAGGATAGACTTAATAATTTGACAGGTCCAGAATATCTTAATTGCCTAGGAAACAAACCTCCATCTTTCTTTGTACTTTCCCTTCTCCTTCAGCATCAATGCCATCCAATTTCAGCAGCTGCCTCATCAGCATCTCTGTCAGACAGATAATATCCTTGTCCTCAACATTGGAACCACCAAAAACAACTGTTTGTACAGCAGAGACCTAGGGTAATGAAGACCAAAGTAAGACTTCAAATTACGAGATCATGGTGTCATAGTCACCTTAGAATGAAAGGAATCAACCTGCTCTGAGAGCTTATCCACTTCTTTTCTCACTTCATAAACTGCTTCAGCTCCTCTTGATATTTCAGTGGTTAACTTAACCTCTTCGGGATTTTTGTCCTCAACTGTTTTTTCCTCCATAACTAACACTTTGGAATTGTCTTTCACACCAGCCAAGTGGAGGTATTCATGATCTTCTTTTTCTTTTCCTCGGAACAGAAGTTTTTGCACCTTCGGCTCCAAACCAATTATTTGGGAAATGACACTTTTTACTTCACCTGTATCCATATTTGATTGGCATTAGAAGCATAACGACAGAGTATCGTTACCAATATATAACACTGCATGTATACATATAGTAGATGCAACGGTGATTTATAATCAGTTAATTTAGTAAATCCAACAATGAAATATTACTTTCACTACGTTGACAATAAAAACTACCTTTGCTAGATTGGTTTGAGTTGAGAAAGGTATACACATGCTGAAACAGATCACAAATAACAATGTCACACACATTACTTTGGAGTAGTATAAGCTCTCATTTATGGTGATAAAAAAGAAAAGGGTAAGAGCTTAAGCAGGCATCATGGTGCAGTTGGTTATCACAATAAACTATTCTCCTCATCTTTAAATATAGATAGCTACCATTCCATTTGCTCCTATTCTAATTACAAATCAGTCTATGTTGACTTCTTTCAATCTGCCAAAGCCGTGGTGGAGAATGCAGGTCCCAATGAAATAGTTGACATGGGCACAAGCTTTCCTAAACACCATCATTTTTGAAAAACAAAATGAAAGAAAAAGGACGAGGAGGTAGCAAGCAGTTATCAACTGTATTGAAAAACCCTCTAAGGATAGATATGAAGAGGCTTTACCGAAAAGATAACCTCTTTCCAAGCTCTAAAATTACAAGGCTCCTCAGAGCCAGAGAACTTTGAACTTATAGCATCCATAACTAGATAATTACCTTAATTTTTAACCATCTGGCATCATCAAAACCCGAAAATCAGTCAATCTCACCCTCTTCTGCATATAAGGGAAGCAGCAATGCGACTAGGCAGACAATGACTAGCATATAAGTAAGAATATGTACACTTAGATGCAACAACAACAACCCAGTAGAATCCCACTAGTGGGGAATATGTACACTTAGATGCAAAAACATGTATAAGAGTTTAGGTCATCAATGAAACCTATCAACGAGAAAACAAACCAAGTGGTGCATAGTTAGTGCAACCAGATTAGCCATGCCTAGTAATCCTTTTTTCTTTTTTTTCTTTTTTTTAAATGACCGGTGTTCCGACCAGCTTGCGCGCACCTCAACCACCATCACAGGTATAAGATAACTCCATTCTCTAAGGCTTAGACCAATAAAAAGGAATCACCTAGTTTTTTTTTTTTTGACTCTGCTCGGATTTGGCCTAGTAACCCTTTATAAGTCAATACCAAAATAACACAAACTCATACTAAATCAAAGAGAAGCACAGAAGTTTGTGACATATACACTATAACAAAGCAAAGGGATCTAAAATTCATACCAAAAGTGAATTCATAGGGGACAGGGAGATCGAAGTCTTGAGAAGCATAAGAGACCTTGATTGTGATAGTGGTGGGATTAGGAGAAGCAGAATCATCTTCTCTCCTTTGAACAAGCATACCGCTTGGCCTCATTTCCCAATCCGCTTCGTTTGACCCTTTCATTCCCAATTCTCAATTGGGTTTAATGATTTTGACAGAGATTGAGCTGTGAAAACCCAGTTCCAAACCCTACTAGGAAAAGCATAAGGATCAATTCCGAATATTTTTATGACAGTAATTACGGAGGGGATTAACTTTAACTAAAACCAATGATGATCTCATAGGAGTTGCGTGGAGTGGGGTGGGTGGTTGCCGGTTGTGGGTCCTATTCAGCCTTTTCCTTTTAATAACGTAAAACGTTTTTGTCAAATATGTTTGTCAAATAGTTTTAGTTTCTTGTTATGAAATTAAAGTAATTTATTAAAATATTAACAAGAAATAGATATAGAGAGAAGGAAGAGATTCTTATTTCTTCTTCAATTGTGTGTATTTTTCTATCTATTACAAGATCTTTATATAGGCATGAAAAGTAAATAATTATTATTGCAAAATATGTCATTGAACATATCATTACGCATTTGAGAGGAAGATCATGGAGGGGGTTATGAAGTTACAATTATAACTTTATAACTATTAGAGTATTGGGAGTTATGAAAATAATGGAGAAAAGTAGACATACACAATAATTTAATTTTCTTATAACACTCTCCCTTGGATGTCCATAGATAATGTGTCTCGTTAAAACCGTATTAGGAAAAAACCCTATGGGAAAAAAAATTCCAATGAAGGAAAAAGAGTACACATGTTTAGAAATACGTCTTTTGGTTGCCTCGTTAAAAATCTTGTAAGGGAAAAAGAGTACAACACGTATTAACTCCCCCTGATGAGAGCATCAATTCACATCCATGAGCCTGCACGTCCCAATCTTGTAGTGTTAGCAAGATACATTAGTGCACCAATTGCACTAAGATATGATACTTCGGGACCAAGAAGCTCTTCATTATTTTCATGAGGTCAGAATGGATCTTTATTTATATCAAGTGATCTCACAACCATCGGGGTACTCAATGGATGTGCTTTATCCATATATAATCGCTTTAAAATCTTTTCAGCGTATGCTGATTGATAGACAAAAATTCCATCTTTCATATAATCAATTTGTAGACCAAGACAAAATTTTATCTTTCCAAGATCTTTCATTTCAAATTCTTTCTTAAACAGTCTACTGCTTTAGGAAGCTCCCCACGAGTTCCAATGATATTTAAATCATCAACATACACGACGATTATAACAAGATCCAGATCTTTTTATAAAGACACAAGGACAAATTGAATCATTCTTGTACTTTTCTTTTAACAGGTACTCACTCAGACGATTATACCACATGCCCCTAATTGTTTCAATCCGTAAAAGTATTTTTGAAGCTTTATTTAATAAATTTCTTGGAAACCTTAATATGATTCAGAACAATTTAAATCCTTCAATGATTTCCATTACATGCATATCAAGTTTTTCATGTATTGCCAGATTAAAACCTGAAATGACTACATCCACTACAGGAGAACATGTCTCTATATAATCAATGCCAGGATATTTAAAATCTTCTTGTGACACAAGTCGTGTTTATGTCTATCAACTTGATTTTGTTTTTGGAACAAGAACACATTTATACCTGCACTGACTTTATACTTTCAGGTGTTGGGATTATCCGTCCAACTTCATATTTTTCAAGTGAAATCAATTTTCATTGCGTATTTTTCATTTGGCCAATCATTTATCTGTCCAAATTTCATGACAGATTTGAGCTCAAGATCCTCGACAATATTAATAATATTGAGCGCTACATTATATTAAAAAATCGTCGACGATCATTTTATATCGGTTCTATTATTACCCAATAAAGACATAACTTATTGAGATCTATTTGTCTCATTATTTTCAGGTACCTGAGCATCTCCCATGAGGTCTTATGAAGTGTTATGTCGTGGTGCTCTTCCAGAGCACTTGCCTCCTTATTATGACCATCTTGAACATTTGTTTCTCTCTTTCTTCAAGGAGTTTTATCTTTGGAACCGATTAGTCTATTATGCTTCATGCATGCCATAGACCCTATTCATTATGAGCTTTATTTTATTTGGAGCATTAGCAGTTGAATATGACATTTAGCTTTGGGTCAGCAAATACGCCTGGCAATATTTTGCAAATAAATTATCACTTGAACTTCAAGTTCACATTTTCTTGTACGAGGATCTAGATGTACTCATAATAATTCATTACATGCATTACTTTTTCAGCTTCCCATTTTCTCCCATATTGTTGGGATCACCAACACATATCTCTAGCCTTATTTGGGGATCCATCTTTGTGCATTGTGGTGGAACAATTAAATCACATAGCATATTCATATTTCTAGATGAAAATTATTTGGTTCCTGACCCTGAACTGATTGTGATAGGGAGAACTTATCATAACTTGGCTAGATGCGTACAAGTGTTATTGTATATTAAATAATACATCACATACTAAATTTTATTTTGGTAGTTTTGTTCTCATAACCAATGGTTTAGCTATAATTGGAGGCATACAATTTCTGCTAAACCAATTTAGATTTAAACCAGTATTATCAAGATAAATTGTCATAATTTATATTCTGGAACTGTGCTCTAATAATTTGAGCAATCAATCTTGCAAAAGCCAAACTGCAAGTTGATAACAAATGCACATGTGACCATAGAATAAATGCATCTATTAAAATCATATAATAGTAAACGGTCCATACGTCAGGTGATTGGGCCCATATATTTATCACCTTTTATTCATTCTAGAAATCAAGAGATTCAACCCCAATCTTAACTGGTATATTACTAGAATAAGCAGCACAAGAGAATTCTTGAAGAATCTTATATTTCTTCAATATATGTCAATGTAATTCTCAATTAATTTTTCGCATCATAATTGAACCGAGATGGTCAACCGGTCATGCCAACTAATATTTGTTTCAGTAAACCTCTAGTTTACTTGTGACATATGATTCCATCATCATGCTTATATTTGTGTAGTACAAATAGAAAGAAAATCGGGTAATCTTTCATATTTACCCGTTATGATTATAGAAATATAAAGATATTCAATATTCATTTCATTTTTAGTCTCAATATGCCAACCACTTTGATTTATACATTTGAAATTCAAAAAGTTTCTTTTGAGACTTTACAATATCAATGTCGTAAATAATTTTATTCATCCGGGTAGTAACAAATTAATTTTTTCGGAGCTCTTAACAACTTCTATGCTACAAGATCTTTTGTCATACCATTCATATAGTAAATGTCTCCTTCACGGAGAAAATTATATCACAATAAATTATCATGGTCAAAATCATCATAAGCAAAATTATTTTTTTGCTTTAATTTTTTCCTTTAATAACCTTTTATACGGCAAAACAAAATATTTTTTGGCATATCACATGTATGCGACCAATGACATATTCATGCAACCACACAATAATATTAAGAACTTTACATAATGAAAATTGGGTAGGTAAAAATGAAAATTTTTAGGTTATACCATTACTTTTCATTTAAAACCTATTTATTTAATGTATGATTTTCATTTCATGCTATCTAAGAAGTGTTGCAAACGAAGGAACTAATTTTGTTATGAAGATAAGAGACTACGAGTCGCGGACGAGATTAATAAGATCTTTGAAAAATATGCTCGAAAACTAGTTCAAAGGATGTTCTACTATCCTAGACCAATCCCACAGGATGGTAGATTTTTCATCCAAAGCATCTACTTCACAAATTAGAGATAATAATAGAATTAATCATATTAAAATCAGTCAAGATAATATAGTTAAGATTAACTCAGACCCTGACCCAACCATATCCGAAATGGATTTTTCAAATGGTTTTAATGGATAGAAACCAAATAGATTTTACTTCGGGTTCACCGGCAAGAAAAATGATTTATTAAGAATTTAAAAAACCCAGATGGGAATGTAACGACCCAAACGGTCGTTTTAACTGTTAGAACCCCGTTCCCCTAAATAAAACTTCCTGTATATATTTTTAATGATTTATGACTTGCGGGGATGGTTGGTTCGGGATTTGGAAGTGTGTAAGTTGAAATCGGAACACTTGGTTCCTTAAGTTAGCTTTAAATGGACAAGTTTGACTTCGGTCAACATTTTGAGAAAACGACCTCGGAATCAGGATTTGACAATTCCAATAGGTTCGTATGATGATTTTGGACTTGGACGTAAGTCCGAATCGGGTTTTGGATAACCCGGGAGTGTTTTGACGCTTAATAGTAAAAATCAACTATTTGAAGGTTTAAAATTCTTTAAATTTGGTTTGGAGTAGGATTTTGAGTAATTGAAGTCCATTTGGAATTTCGAGTTTGGAAATTATTCCGTATAGTTATTTAAGACTTGCACGCAAATTTTCGTATCATTCCGAGTAGTTTAAGTATATTTCGGCGCATTTGAAGTAAATTGAAGAACTTGAAATTCTTCAGTTTGAATCAATTTGGTTTAGGGTATGATTCTTAGATTTGATATTGTTTTACGCGTTCCGAGAGTTCGAGCGAGTCCGTTTTATGATTTCAAACCTGTTGGTATGTTCGGGCGGGGCCCCGGGGTTCCAGAGTGTTAACTGGACGAGGCTCGGACCAATTTTGAGAAATTGAGCAAGGGCTAAAGTTCCCAGCTACTGTCATAATCACACATGCGCTTGGAAAACCGCATGTGCGAACGCGCAGGTGCGAAGGTCTTGTGCGCATAAGCGGAGGGATGCACATGTGCGAAAGAATGGGCGCACTTGCGCTTGCGCAGAAGCGAGCTCTTCTTCCGCAGGTGCGGAACCAGGAAAAGAGGGAAAATGCGCACCTGCGAGGAATTTCCGCAGGTGCAAAAGCCATATGTGTTGTACTCCTTCCGCAGGTGCGAAAAATCCGTCTAGGCAGAACCTTAAAACGGACGAAAACTCAGTCCATTTATTTCCATTTTCCCTCCATTTCCGGGCAATTTCAGAGTTTTTGAGAAGGGGGTTTCAACTAGCAATTTAAAGGTAAGTTAATTCCATACCCCTTGAGTTAAATACATAGATTATAAGTAGATTATAACTAGTAAATCTTAGAAATCAAAGATTTAGATAAAAAAACCTAGATTTTTATAAAAGTGAGATTTTAACCACGAAAATGGTTATGAAATTGGGTAGAAATTATATATTTAAATTCTTGAGATT